GGCTTTTATGATCTTAAGGACTAAGGTAAACTCAACAGAATGTTTGTTATTATAATCAAACAAATTGCCTTCAAAGTCTGGCTCTATAACTGCTGTTGTGTGAACCCAAGCACATAACTTAGGTTTTCTAAGCTTCTGTTTCTCTATCTATAAAATGGAAAGATTAATTAAATTTTTTTTTTATTTTAAAGAGGAAACAAACCCAAAATTTCAAAAGAAGATAATAGGGTAACAATGGTTAATACATTGTGTATTGTTAACTTTAAATTAGTTATTCAAAGAATGAGATATAGGCATTTATTTGTCCAGACAAAATTAGCACAAACATTCCTTTTCAATGAACTAGGAGAAATTAGTAGTATAAGTATCTTAATTATCTTATATATATTTTTTTCTGTTTTCCTTTCTCCCATCCCAGTTTCTCTTTCCTTTTGAACAGTTTCTTCTCATTTTACAATATCTGTTGTACATTTTGGATCTTATTTGCTCAGAAAGATTAATTTGCAGAGCTTTTGGGAATATTTGGGAACATAATATATAGAAAATTTCTAGCACTGTGTTAGCTAGTATTAGAAATTCTGAACCCTCCCATGCCTACTTCCTTGAGAAGATTCACCTGCGCCTCCAGAGAAAACACTTTTCTGGGTGTATACCCCCTGTTTTCTCATCGTCTCAACATTTAGAAGGTGTGATTGTGTGTATTATCCAGCGGGGAAAGGACTAGGAGTTATGTGGAGCCTGCCTCTCTTTGCTATAATTTCTTATGTAAATGAACAGGAATACAAAAGTTGTATTCTATTAATCAGGAACTTAAACAATGTTAAGGTTTGTTAGTTAGGACTCTTAACCAGAACCCTTAGTTAGTTGACTTCTTTTTCCTTTGTCTCTGCTCTTTAAGGGAAAAGAAGTGAAAAGAGAAGAAAGTTGGATCTTGTTATTGGAGAGCTCTCCTGCAAGAGGCTAGCCCATGGTTAATAAAAGATGTTCTACCCCTCTCCCCCAAGGTCTAGCCTTGCCCATCCATTGCATTCCCGTGAGCCTGGCACAGTTCCAAATGATTAGTGAATGTTCATTAAGTCTTTGTTAGATGACCAAAGGCAGCACAGGCTGTAGCTAGGCTCCAGTGTTGGTGTTGTCTACTCTGCTCTGAATTTTCCTGCTCCCATGCTTTTGTTTATCCTTGAAGCATTACTGCCAGTCAAGGCCCTGTGGACTTTGGGTTGGAATTATTGATACCAAATTTTAGCTCTCTTGTGAGCTAGTAGGCTCCTTCATAGGCATCAGCTAAGTTCCTTCTTCTTTGTTTAACAAGAAATGTTGTATTTGGTATTTTGTACAGTTATAGCTATTTATCACTAATCATCTTTATAATGACCTCAATAAATATCAGTTTTTATATATTTGCTTATTTAATACCCATAGCACCTTTATAAGATAAATACTATTATTAGTACCATTCAATAGGTGGGAAAACTACAGCCTTAGGATATTGAATAACTTGTATACTGGAATGTTTATTGAATTCAGTGAATTTAAACTCAGTCTTTACAACCTTATAGCCCATATCCCTGCAGTCCTGGAGGATGTCTCAGTGCTGTGCAAAAGTGTCTCTATTAAAAAATGGTCCTATCTCCAGAACTGGACTTTCTGAAAGAGGAACATGGGCCAATAGTAATCATCTTTCATTTCTAAAGAGGTTCTTAAAAATTCCAAAATAGGCTAGTATATATTATTATCTTTGGGCTTCAAAACAATCCCAAGACCTAGGTCAGGTATTAATTATGGTTTTATTTTATGGGTGAGGAAACCAAATCCTGGAAAAAAGTGACTATAAGAGCTGAACCCAGGTCTTGTCTTAATTAAGGGCCTTTACCATATTCTCTGTTAATATATTAAAGGCAAAGAAAAACAAAACAAAAATAATTGTTAAAAGTAGAAGATGATTCACAAGAAAGTATGTCCTGGAGGCAGAGTGAGTACTTTCTGGGAAGCAACTGTGCAGGAGGCTGACTTGAATACACTGTCTTTTGGGGAATTCCTATTTCCCAAGAAGTACTGTTTTTTCCTATACCGTTGTTCCTTAAGTTTTGCTAACAGAAAAGGGGCTCCAGGCCAAAGATTCTGGGGCTCAACCTGTGTCCTCAGACTGAAGAGAGAAGGTATTTTTCCTTCTTGCTTGCTTGCATACTTTTCAAATCCATTTTTATTTATTTACTTTTCATTAGTTAAGCCCTTGAGGCATGGAGTATCACACAGATTCTGTGGCCTTTACAGGAAAGTTGCTTTCACTTTTGGCAGAAACCATACCACTGTTTCCGTGGCATGAGTTCTCTCCTTCCCTAGATTACTTTGGTTTTGTTTGGTTTGCTGCCAGGAGTCACTGTGTTGTTCTCTGCTTTGTGTACATAAGTACATTTCTGGCCAAATAGAATTCAGTTTCATCTTGGGCATAAACAGCTTCAGTTTTAAGAGCTGTATGCTTGCTTTGGTCTCAGAGACTCCATTTATAGCCAGCAAACTGGCCCCACACCACAGCCTTCTAGAGATATTTGCCTTTTTGGAGTCTTCTGCCCAATAATCCTAATAGCCTCCAAGATGATGGGAAGAGCACATTTCCTTTCTGATCCCTTTCTTTATCTCCTCTGCTCAAGCCCTGTGAATCCCCTGGGTCTCTGGGTACTAGGCTTGGATAAGCAGTTGCTACCTGTTACTTCCCTTGTTGCCTCCTCTCCACCAGACACTGCATTCTGGGAGGGTTTCTGAATGGGTTTCAGTGGAATGTTCCTCATGGACAAAGCAGCAGCCTGCTTCAGAAAGAAGGAACCTAGATTCAAATCCTGCTGTGCCCCACAGGGTGAGATGGAAAGATGTAAGAGGCTGACTACTTCCTGCTTTCATTGATCTCTGACTACTTCTAGTTTGTTCATCAGATCACTCATGGAATGTGCATTACTGTACTTCTTTCCTCTTCCTTCTCAAAATCCAAACCCAATCGACTTTGTAAAGAGGTAGGAAGGAAGCCATTGGTTTTGTTTCCCAAAACACAATTTTACCTTCTTGTCTCCGCTTATTCTCTTCCCTCTCCTCCCTCTTCTGAACATCAGAGTTTTGCTTCATCAAAGATAAAGTTTGGAAGGCCAGATGTGGTTCTGCACCATAGAGGTGTGGGTGCTGGTTTGCAAGACTCTCCTGAAGACCTCAAACTGAAGGCTTTCTTACTCAAATACGGAGAAACAAAGACTAGCTTTGCAAAGATCTGCTTTATAGTTATTGCTTCCCTTCATAAAGAATCTGACTTTTAGATTTGCCTTGTTATGTGTAAACATTTCTGAGTTTCAGGATGGAAGAGCTTGAACAGTGACCACAGTTATTCCATTAGGCTGATGGGGAACAAGTAGGGAACCCTTTATTTTTCCAGTGAAAGATGAAAGGAATTGTTTATAATTCCTGAGAATAAAATACTAACATTTAGGGAATTTTGAGGAAGGCAGAAATTCACGTGGAAATTCTTTGAGTCTGAAATTATTTAAGTATAAAACATTAAAAATGATTGTTTTTCAAGAAACGATTGTTTTTCAAGTTCTTTGGCTTTGGGGAAGCTGATGAATGTGAAAGAGAGGCTTAATATGCTTTGATTTTCCTTTTTAATATGCAGCTGCAGTAGACTTGATATTTCAGCAGTCTTCTAGGCCTTCAGGGACCCTGAATCTCATTTAACAGTCCATCCTGACCAGTGGAGGTAGCTGTCAGTTGGGGGGAGGTGTAGTCCTTTAGAGTTATCCCAGAGACCACTAAGGTGAAGGCAGGACACCAGGAAGGAAGGGAAGAGGCAGGAGAACAAAGAGTAAGGATGCTGTTCAATAGTGCAGGGTTTAAGAGAACTGAGAAAGGAGCAAGGCCTGGTGCAAATGTCAAAGAATACCACGAGCCCCAGAGCCTGCTAAATGGCAGATTGCCCACTTTTGGACGGATTCACCTAGGAAGAACTTATAAAACACTTTCACAGATCCAATCTCATCAGTGCTTGGGAGCAAAGCAAGACAAAAAAAAAAGTTACCTCCATTTTCCAGAAGAGGGTAGTAAAGCCCAAGAAAGTGGTACCATTCATTGGCTCAAGGACACAGCTCAGGAATGACAAAGCCAGGACTCGAGCCTGAGTTCCTTCTTTCTGAAGTGGGTGACATTTCAGTGGTTAAAATGTTCTGTAATGGCAAGGTGATGTCCAAGCAAATGTCAGAGTTGGAATTGTCCCTGGCACTTTCCTCTTATGGACCTCAGGCCATAAGAGATGGGTTTTGTCTTGCTGTAGCTATTCTCACATTTTTTTCATCTTACAACTGCCCAGGCTGGCTGCTAAGGACTGTTCCCAGTGGTGGTGGGGCCAACTTGTTGCCACCACACCGGGATGGATGTTTAGCTGGGCCTCTTCACATGGATGAGTGACTCACTATAACAGGCTTGACTTTGGGCAAGAAAAGATAATCTGATCTTCTGACTTCCTTCTATTGACTTCCTACAAGAACCCCCAGACTTCTGGACCCAAAAATGGGTCTAGCTGTTCTGACCCATTTTTGTTTGGCTGAGTAGCAGGGGGCACCATGTTCATGCCTTGAGGGGAAATGAGCTCAATTATGTAGGCAGGTCCCTGGGAGGCTTTCCTGCAAGGCTGTTATTAATTTTACAGAACAAGGGAAAAAATGTATCTTCAGATCTCTCTGCCCCATTTTCATCTGTGTTGATGTTCAGAACAGGATCACCCAGGGCGATGTATGCCTTTGCTGCTGAATTAAAAGGCTAGTTGCCCTCTAGTCAGGATGCCTCTGTGTTTCTTCTTTCTCTGCCTCTTCCCCCACCACCACCCACTGCCACTCCCACCCCCAAGCCTGCACTCTGAGTCCTGCACATTGTTGTGACATTTGCTCATAGAAGAGCAGGAGTAGGTTACAGCTTTGTGTTCTTAACTTCTTCTTCTTCTTCTTCTTTTTTATTTTTTGGAACAGAGCAACACTTTCCGGAGGTGATGCTGGGGGAAGAGTTTCTCAGCCTGAGTCTGGACCAGGTGTGCAGCTTGATATCCAGTGACAAGCTGACCGTTTCTTCCGAAGAGAAGGTATGGCTCTGCCCCCTGGTGAAACAGTAGCCTCTCTGTGAAGGAATTATGAGAGTAACTTGTGTTTCAGGAAAGCTTTTTCAGAGGAAGACAAATGTTTGCTTTTTGATCTAAAAATTTTTTAAAGACCTTTTTGTCCCATGACCAGTACATCCCATGGCTGCCTTTCTGTTACGTTGTCAAAATCTTGAGGAAGCCCATGAGAACTTCTACATCCAGGTCCTGAGAAGTGGTGCTGAGATCTCCCACCTCAGCCTGATATCAAATTGTCTTAGTTACTTTTCTCGAAGTTGTGACATAATACCAGACACGCAAAGTTAGAGGAGGAAAGATTTATTTAGTTCACAGTTTGTAGACGTTTCAGTCCATAATCGGCTGATTTCAAGGCCGGGTGGCATCGCACAGGAGAAACAGTTCATAGTGGGAAGAGGGCAGCAAAGCAACAAGGGATGATCACAGCTCTTTCTATGCCTTACATCTTATCCAGGCTACTTAGGGCAGGTAGCACTCATACCTTCAATCCTAGTGCCCTTGATCCTAGCATTGCAGCATTAATCAGTTCCAGCATCACACACTCAAGATCCCTCGGCCTCTGAAAAAACCTCACCTATCACCACATGAGGCTTTAGGGGGACATGTAGACACAAGCCATAATACGAGTCTAGGCCACCCTATTGAAAACCTGCTCCGGTTCTCAAGAGAAGTCCATGGGAACTGTTTTGCACATGTGTCTGGGTTCTTATAATTAATAGGTTATGCCTACTTCTCTAGCCAGCTTTTGCCACACCCTAATCTTCTGTCTCAGGTATTTTTCACATTAATGAAGTTCTGCATAGTATTTGGTTTTTAGAAATTATTTGTAACCAGAGTTATATGGTATATTTTATAAAGCAGGTTATTTGTGCTCTTGAGCCCTTTAGTGTCCATAAGGTCAGCAATGCAGTTCTGAAGCTTATCAAAGAGTAGTAGGTTTGGTCTGCATTTTCTCTTTTGTCTTTTTGAAACAGGGTTTCCCTATGTAGTGCAGGTTGGCCTTGAACTCACTTTGTAGCCCAGGCTGGCCTCAAACTCACAGCAGTCAACCTCCTGCCTCAGCCTCCCCAGTGCTGGGATTACTGGTGTGCACCACTACACCTGGCTGGTCTGCATTTTTTTTGTTGGGTAAACCAATAATTTAGGTTCTCTTAATATATCATGTATCGCTGCAATCTAAATAGCTAAAAACTTCCTACAATTGTCATCTGAGTCCTAATTATTTAGATTTTGAAGTTTCTATGTCTGTTGCAGGAGATTTTGTGATTTCCACTCCCTTTAATTATACTGTATGTGATAAGAGATCTCTTGCATGCATAATATCTTTTCCTTTCACTATTATTTTGTAGCGGGATTTTTGGAAGTTATATTAGAAGTCTTCAAGTTTGATTTCATTTAATGTTAATATTTGTTTAAAAATTCACCAGAGTTGGTGATCAAATAATCTGTGGTCATCTAAAACCACACTTAAAAAGCAGTAGCAGCTATATTATGATTTACTTTTCTGCCTCCAGCTCATGGATATCTTTTAACATGTATTATAAGATACAGCCAGATTCCAGCCATTAAAGTGGGAAGAAGCTGTGTGTCCTACAATAGAGGAAATAGGATATTTTAATTTTAATGATGAATGTAAGTAGCAGTGGCCAGGCCCAAGCAGATTGCTTCTTGCAAGTTTGAAAGTGCTATATAGGTTCTCCAGACAGAGTGGCTGGGTTTGACTCTTGTCTCTCTTAAATGAAGAACTTATCTTCCACTAGAACATACCATATGTTATGGCTTATATCTAGCTGAACCCCAAAGCCTCATGCAGTCATAGGTGGGGCTTTTCAGAGGGGACTGGATCTAGAGTATGTGATGCTGGAATCAAGGATATGATGCTGGGGTTGATTCATGGTGCAAAACTACAATTAAAGCTGCCCCACCCTAGGTGTGAGTGCTACCCTGCCCTAAGGGTAGGTAGCCTGGATGGAATGTAAGGGATAGAAAGAGGGTCATCGCTTGTCACTTGCTGCTTTTTCACTACCTTGCTGGTTTGCTGCCTTCTGCCTACAATGAACTATTTCTCCTCTGCAATGCCCCTCTGCTATGCCACTTTACCTTGGAGCCACCCAACTATGAGCTGAAACCTCTATAAACTGTAAGCTGAAATAAACCTTTCCTCATTTAACCTTGGATGTTGGGTATTTTGTCTCAGCAATAAGAGAAGTAACTAAAACACCATACTTCATATGGTAAGAGATTTTGTCTATCTGGTTGTTACTGTTAGAGTGATATGAGGTTTAAGATAGACACTGAAAAAGATATTTGTTGAAAGAAAGAATAAAGCTGAGTTTTCTCATCCTTAAAAATGGGTTATGGTGGTGTAGTATATACCTTTTAGAGTGGTTCTAAAAATGAAATGAGATGACACATGAAGAAAGCCTAGAACACAGGATGTATTCATTACTTATAAGATACTATCATTATTGCTGCTATTATTATTGCTGTTGGTACTAAGAACTATTGACTTGAACCTTTCTTGGGAGTAAGCTCTTCCTACAGGTCTGGGATGCTAGTGTGTGTGTGTGTGTGTGTGTGTGTGTGTGTAGAAGTGTACTTAGCAGAGGTTGAGATTGGCAGGATAGCAAGCTCTGGCTTCCTTGTTTCCTAGCACCCCCAGTTCTTGTTTGGGCCTTCCACAGTGCTCAGAGATTATTCTTCCTCCAGTATGGGTCACTTTTGCCTGTGCCTTTTTTCTCTACTGTATTCATATCCCTGTGGGTTTTGAGAGTGGCTTAGTCATCTTGAATCACACACAGTGCCCCAGGATGGCATGAAGGATGTGAAGATTAGGCTGAGGCTGGACTCTTCCCTGAGCCAGCTGAAGTTTAAGAATTAGTTTAACATTTTTTTCAGAGAATAGTACAGATGGGGGAACTAGAGAGCAAGGGAAGGCATGGACCTTTGTCTCTTTTCTCTTGCTTTTCCTTCATATGCCTTTTGTTCTAGCTTAGAATTCCCTGTTACTGGCCACAGTGAGCTTCTTCAGTGGCCTGCACTCACTCTGCAGAGTATATTTCTTTTCCTACCTTTGATGAATATTAAACCTTGCTACCCTCCAAAAAATCCCTGTTACTTGAGGGCAAACAAATGGATCTGGTAGGACTCGTACAATACTATTCTTTGGGGAGCCCCCCAACCCCAAAGATAGAGCTAAGACACAGAAGCCCCTCTCAGTCTGTTATTCTTCCACATGGGAAGTATGAGGTCAGAGCTGAGCCTGGGAGCTGAGCGCTGTTTACTGTACTCTCCTCTAAGAGGCTCTAGCCATCCTCCTTGTCCCAGAGGAAGGGTAAGCAACCACCTGGGACAAATGCCCTGAGAAAAAGAGATATGGATATGACTCCAGAATTCTAATGTAGCTTTGCCCCTGAATTGCTGCAGGACTAGACATTTTTGGATTTCTCTGCATCTTTGCTTTCTTAGCTTATAAATATGTTTTCACATGTAAAGAATTTGGTTCTTCAGTATTGAGGTTTTTCAGAAATATCTTGGAGTGAGTACTAAGGGATAAAGGCCCATATTTTAGGTAAAGATCAGAAAGAAATTGATTCAGTCTCTTTAAAAATTAGATTGCTAAAACAGAAAAAAAATCTGGCCAAATATGGTGGCACATGCCTCTGATCCCAGTACTTGGGTGGTTGAGTCAGCAGGATCACTGTCAGTTTGGGCTACATAAGTGAGTTGAAGATTGGCCTGCACTACACAGTGAGACCGTGTCTCAGAACAACAATACAAAACAAAAATTAGATTGCTGTCAACTGCATGTTTTAATGAGAACTGTGGGTCAGATTTTCTCTGCATAATAACATTTTAGAATGTGTTGTACTACATTTCAGGTGCCAAATTGTGATCTTTCATCTTCTAGGAGAGACTAGGCCCTTATCACTCAGGATCATGCCTTTCTGTCTGAATTCCTAGGGCTGCAGGCTGGTGGTTGTGGGATGCAGGCTGCAGGGCCTTGGCCAGTAGGCTGGGCTTAAGTGATAGCCATGGGGACATTATTTAGGGGCTGATCAGATAGACTCTGGCTGATAGACTGGGCTGGTGGAAACCTTGCCATTCTCTGAGGTCACTGGCCAGTTTCTCAGCCTGTAGACGGTAGTCTGGCTTGGGCCCCTGTTAAGGGTTACTCTTTTACTGTTCTCCTTTGGAGAGTGCTATTGAGTAACCATCCATGTGCGGAATACCACAGAACTTGTGAACAGAAATCTACCATGACCACCTACTGTTCTTCAGGCACATCTCTCACATTTTAAAAAAATGTGAAGATTGTATTATGGTAAGTCCATAGAGAAGTAAACACATGAAAATATGCAGCTCAACTTTTAACAAAGTAAAGCACTCAGATCAAGAAACAGACCTCAACTCCCAGGGAGGTAACTACCATCTCATATTATACCTGCATTTCAGCATTTTGGAACTTTATATATGCGGAGTAATGGAGTGTTTATGCTTTTGTGTCTGGCTTCTTTTGTCCAACATACTATTTAGCACATCATTTTAATTCTCAAAACAACTTTCAAGGCAGAGGTCATTGTCTCTTGGTAGGGGAAGAAACTAGGGCTCAGTAAGTTGACACAGTTTGCTAGCAGTAGATACCTCTGTGACTTGAAGCTAAATATGTCTGCCTCTTATGCCGCTATTTTTCATAATGCACCATCATGAGTCTTGCTAAGTGACACCTGGTAATTACTCTTCAAGAGCTCATAGTCTACTGGGAAGATAGACTGAAAACATATGTCTGTAGTATGTGGCTGAAAGAAATGGTTGCTTACAATTTAAGTTTAAAGGAAGCACACTGGAACATTTCATTCCAGGTGGTTGGGTAGAAAAGGCTTTGTAGAAAAGGGAATATTTGGAAAAACTTGGAAAGTGAGAATTTTAGAAAGCCCTCCAGCTTAGAGGAATAGTATGAATAAAGA